CATGTGTTTTACGGCTAGGGACTTTTCTGCAGAAATCAACCCACAGAACTGTGATCCACAACTAAAACCTCTCTCTCTCTCACAATGTTTTAAGCCCTTATGGTTGCAACGTCAACACAGCTAACCATTTGGGGGCTGAGGATTCTAAAAGAAATGTAGCTAACACACTCAGCCATCAATCCTGAGCTCCTGCTTAACACCTCTCCAGGTGCCAAAAGCACCAACTGTCCCCTACCTACTCAGCTGCCACAACCTCCAACCTCCCTCCCACCCCCACGGAGAACTTATTTGTTCTGTAGTAGCACCCAGGAGCCTGAGTCATGGAACAGGCCCCGCAAGGCACTGTACAGAGAGAACAAAGTCTCTGACCCACAACCACAATCTAAGTAACTACCACAATGCAGTTAGGCACTCTCAACAGAATTCACAGATTAAGGCCAGAGACTCTCACCTAATGATGCCTGCATCAAGCCCACAACTGTTTGAGTTAGAGTATATCTTTCAGAAAGATACACCGAGTCCTGACAAAAGACATCAAGTGAGAGAATCTATCACATTCGTAGGCCAGTTACTCCAAGAGTTAATCACCCTCATTGTTAAACACTGGCACCTTATCCCTGGGCTGCATTTATTTGGGTTCAGTTTCCACCCAATGGCTCCCATCCTGCTTCTGTCTGATCGATTAGAGCCCTCTGCCAGCAGAAGTCTCTTCCCCACATAGATCAGTCTCTGAGAACCAAATCACCTACTAGCCTTTTCTCGGATAATCTAAATAGACCGAGATTCTGAAGTCTCCCTATAAGGCAGTTTCTCCAGATCGCAAACCATTCTTGCAGTTTACTGAAAGTTGAGAGGCAGACTAATAAATTGCATTTAATATGAGACACACACTACAAGAGATACTGTGCTGACTTCTTCACTTCCAGGTTTTAGCCAATAACAATCCCCATTTTGTATTTACCTAGCAGCAACCAGAGATTTAGCTTACTTTTATTTTGGCTTGTGATTTTCTCTGTGCTGAGAGGGAGGC